GTGTGTGTGTGTGTGTGTGTGTGTGTGTGTGTGTGTGTGTGTGTGTGTGTGTGTGTGTGTGCATTCATATATATTTCTGAAACATCTTATACATTTATACATTTTATACATCTATCGGTCTCTTTCTCTCGTCTGACCCTCTCCTGGTAACTGGGGCATCGGATCGATCCTGTTCAGGCGACACAGACGCCATCACCACTAGCCTGCACTACTACTCATTGTCAGTATCACCCACCACTGCTACTATCACAATTACCACTCCCAGTATTACTATCACTGATACTACTACTGCTCTCATCACCATCACCACTACCACTACTACTACTACTCCCACCACTACTACTACCACTACTACTACTACCACTACTACTACTACCACTACCCTACCACTACCACTATTACTACCACACCACTACAACTACCACTACCTCTACTACTACCACCACCACTACTACTATCACTACCACTACCACTATTACTACCACTACCACACCACTACTACTATCACTACTATTACTACTACTACTATTAATTTTCTTCACCGTCAGATTTTGTCGAAATAAGATTAGCTTCAATGCCATGATCTGATTTACGGATATAAATTAACATGATTCATATTCCTTTTCAAAAATGTCAAAAAAGTCAAATAAATTTTAAAATAAAAACATTTTCGATCTTGTTTAAATTAAGTTGCGACACTTTCAAGACTAGCACTTATATTAATGTTCTTAAAAAAAAATCATACCAAAATTTTTGTTTTCAATAATTTTTGCTAATAAGTCTCTATTCTGTAACTCTTAACGATATCGTTATTGTATCGATATCGGTATCGTTATTGTCATTGCGCAAACATTATATATGCTAAAAAATAAAAAGTTACGCAACGTTAATATAACGACCAACATTATCATTAAGAGTTACAGATAAGGCTATAGAAATTAAATATTAAAAATATTTGTAGGATATTATAATTTACATTTATTTAAAAAAATAGTCTTCTAAGTAATCCAAAAAATACAAAAAGTAAAAATTACGAATAATTATAAAGACGTATTTTAAAATATAATATAAATAGACATAATCTATTGATATCATTACCTTTTATAAAAAAATATGTATAAATATATATTGGTTTATGCATTCATTGAAGGATTTTCTAAGATCTTTCGAGAAATAGCTTTAGATTTGTGCGAATAGCTTCATAAAGTCTGTAATAAAATGTAAAAAATATGTAATTAACATGCAGGATGTACAAAAACTGTATATCATTTAATATTACCAATTCTGATACTATTAAAGCGTTGATATCTTTTATAACTTCACATGCCAAAAATAATTAAGTATTGTTATATCTGCAGAAGAATGACATTTATAAGAAATATATAATAATCACATTTAATCGAATTTTAGTTCGGCTGAACTGATATTGCTATAAAAGGACTGGCAACAATATAAACTCGATTGTCAAGGCTAATTCTCAATAAGAGTTGATAAATTTGTCGTTAACCATCTTGATGCAAAAATGACTTTGGCCTCTAACAAAAAAGACATTATTGCGACAAAAGAGATACTACAATCGGTTGAGCAGAGTATTATGATTAAAACTGAATGAAAGTAAATAAAAGTAGCCACTTCAAAACATCCATGACCCACATGGAATAAAGACAATATGGAATCTAAAGATAAAAAAAATTTTTGTACCATCTTTTGAAGAATCTTCTAAAAAAAAGAATGTAAAAAATATATCGTCTAATATTTCAAAAAGTAATACTAAATATGCTTTAAAAACTTTATGCTTTTAAAAATATGCTTTTAGAAACTTCCAAAACAAACTTAAATAGATTCAATAAATGAAAAAAATTAAATTTAGAATTTGTTGACGTGGTTAAAAACAGGATCGATATTATTAAGTTGAATCTCGAACTAAACCTAGAGACGAATTTCGAGCCAAACTTCTTCATAAGCTTTGATTTGATAATATAGACATACTCGTATGTTCGGCTCGTGACTGCTCGAAATTTAACTCGATAATACGGATCCTTCATAATAGATTCAAATAACGTTGAATGTTTGCAAGAACTTCCTAAATCTGCGCCAATAAGATAAACTAAGCAATTCTATTTAAATAAATGCCAGAAAAGAATTATTAAAAAAAAATACAAATTATTTATTTGCTTCTAATTATTAATAACACAATTGTGCGTAAACCGATAAAAGAAATAGTTAGTATTCTTCATATATTTCAAAAGTATGTGTCTAGAATATTTTCCGACCAAACACATAAAAGCATCAAATTCTAAAAGTGTTGCTTAAATCCTCAGACTACGGCAACGCTAAATATATGATGATATTTCTCAAACAACGTTATATTTTATATTATATTTTGAAACAATTTTTACACTATCAGAACAATAAAATAGTCACAAATTCTGGTGTACTTGATTTTTCAATTTAACTCTTCATTTTTTTTCAATGTGGGGGTCCAATTTACCATTAAGCTGCCTCCCTCATTTTTAACGCAATTTCCTGCTAAATGATTTGAATAACAAAATCAGAATTAGAGTAACAAAATTAGTATATAAACAGCGCATTAAATTATTTGATAGATCCGATGCTGATTCGCTGGTGGGGAGTTTAGCTTAATAAGGATACTGAATTAAGATCTTCATTAATATTATTGTTCAATTTTTTTTAATTTTATATTCTTATGTACCTAAATTATTTAGATATACACTGCTCAAAAAAATTATGGCATAGAAAAATTTTGAGCAAAAATTGGTCAACTTTGGTTAACGGTAACTCCGCAAAAAATCATCGTAAAATGATGAACTTTTTTTCAAATGAAAGCTTGAAATCTTTACTTTAAAATACTGT